CCAGCCCTGGCCCCACCAATGACTTAAAGGGCCTGGGCCAGCAGCCATCAGGAGCATTGGGCCCTTTTGAATCGCCAGGCCCAGGGGCAACTGCCCTTTTTTGACCCCGTCAGAGGGCCTACCTGGGAAGCATCACCACACCCACCTTAAAGAGAGGGGCTGAGGCTCAGAGAGATTAATACAGCCTGATCCTGGGAAGCGCTAAACTCACAGTGGAAGGAGGGGTCTCTGCACCAAAGCTCCTTGTGGTGCACAGATCCCAAGGGTGCACGCACTGTTACACACACTCTTCTGAGTTCCTTTGCTTAGCGTGTGAGCAAGTTGTGGCACTTGGGAATATACACTATGTTGTTATTAATTTTGGGTTGTGCTTTGGGTTATGTGGAGACAGCTGTGGGAGAAAGGGAGCTGTGTGAGCCCCAGGAGAATTTGCGTCTCTGGCTTGGCCTCTGACTGGAGTCAGTCCTGGAGACAGGCTGAGATTGCTAAGCATGCTGTTGGACCTCTCAGTCCACCCTTGCGATGATCAGTTCTTTACTCCATGGGCAGCATTGGTACTGTCCATAGGCTAGATTGTGCCACAGCCCTTTTTTTGCTGTGGCATAAAGCAAATTACACTAAATGAACAAGGCTGCAGGAGAAAAAAATCTAGTTGGGGAGATTTGAAGACCCCAGGCAAAGTAAACACATGGAAACCCAAGAAAGGCTCATGAGATGATTATAAAGACTGGTGGATAGTTCAGTAAATCATTAAACAGTATCCAAGTCAAATATGCCAACGAATGCCATTAATTTAACACTAACTACAGTATAAATGTATGTTTAATAGGATGAACCCACGCTCAGGATTTTATGATTTCTGGTTGCCGATTTCAGCTAAGGGACAGGGCCTCAACTGGCATAAATCAGCTTCGTCCCTCTGAGGCTCTTGCCTCTCTATCTAGGTTCTCATATAAGGTCTCAAATTGTGGTATATGAGCCTCACGTCTATTAATTCATTTACCTTCACATGTCTGGGACCGGGGTGGGAGCTGGCAGGCTTCCCGGGCCCCTGGGCGAAGGGGCGGAGGCAGGCTCTGCACTCCCAGAAGGGCTGAGGCTGAGACCAGCTATTGCTCAGCACTGCCCAGAGCACTCGGAATTGCCTGTAGACAGCTGGCAAGTTTTTCCGCAAAAGCGGATGATTTTGCGGAAAAACTTGCCAGTCTAGACACAGCCTTAGGGTATGTCTAGACGACATGCCTCTGGTGACAGAGGCATGTAAAATAGACTACCAGACATAGTCAGTGAAGCCTGGATTTAAATATCCCTGGCTTCATTAAAATAAAAATGGCCGCCGTGCTGTGCCGGCTCAGCTGATTGTCGGCACAGCACGAGAGTCAAGACGCGGATTGGTCGACAAGGGAAGCCTTTGTCGACCGCTCCCTTATGCCTCGTAAAACAAGGTTTACAGGAGTGGTCAACAAAAGCTTCCTTTGTCAACTGATCCGTGTCTTAACTTGCATGCTGTGCCGATGATCACAGCACGGTGGCCATTTTTATTTTAATGAAGCCGGGGATATTTAAATCCCGGCTTCATTGACTACGTTGGGTAGTCTAATTTACATGCCTCTGTTGCCAGAGGCATGTAGTCTAGACATACCCTTAGTTACCCAGACTCCAAGTCACTGTTTTCTCCATCCTGGGAAGCCAACTTCCAAGGTGGTGGACACCATTGGCTACTGCTTGGCAGCAGGGTGACACTAGTTTCAGAATGATATGCTGGTGTCAGAAGAGACAAACCAGGCCCTGCTACTTTCTTCCTTGTCTGTAAGAATTCAGGACCTTCCAACGCCAGGATTTTGATACAGCAGGGCAGGGCTCAGATTCGTGAGAGGACGTGCACCAAGAGGTGGATGGCGTTATCCAACTTCTTAGCTCCAAAGCAGCCATAATAGGTGGAAATGGGAGACGGGCATCCCCCTCTATAGCCACCAACAACAGAAGAAGTGGAGTTAAAGAACAGAGCTTGCCAGGCAAGCTTCAGGTCTGCCTCCTTTTAGTAAAAACTGTCATGTTGCGGAGGAAGGGCAAGTGGTAGATGGACCTCTTTGGATTTTATTAAATCGTTCGGCCTAGTCCTTCACAAAACATAGCTCAGAGTTCATACTAGTCGGCGTGGCTTTGAATGGAGGTGGGAGCACTTGGAGTGAAGGGTCAGGATGAACATCCTGTACCAAACTACTGGGAGGTGTGCAATGGTGGGGACAGTGCAAGAATGTGAGTTAAAACTTATTTTAGTATTGTCATTAGCAATACAGGAGAGGGAGTAACCAGCTCGTCACACATCATAAGGCAACTGGGGAAGAGCTGAGCACACGCAGGAGGAGAAAGGAAAAATGCAGAAAAGGTCTAGAGACCTGACTCGAGTATGTGCAACAGAGGACAAACCAGGCCAAATCCTGACAGGTTCTGAGCATCCTCCACAACTCTTGCTATGTCTCTCAGCCAGATCCTGAGCTCTCCCTCATGGATGGCCCAAGGCACTTGTGGATCGGGTCCGAGGGGATCCGTGAGGCTAAGGGCAAGACCTCTATCCAATCTGAAGCAAACTGGAAAACTCCGCCCTGGTTGGCACAATCCAGAAAAACCCAGAACAAGATCCTGGCAAAGCTTCTTCCTCCTCTACCCCCCGCCCAAGACACTCCTCATAGGTATTTCCGCAGATGGGACCTGCGGGGCTCTTGGCATTAGACCCACTCCCATTTTCTTCAGTATGGAGATTGCTTGAAGAAAAGCCCAGGGCCCAGTTTTGCCCCCTCCCTTACTCATGACCATTAATTCTTTATTTACTGGGCTAGGTTATGCCACACCCACCTTCCTGCACTGCCAAGGAACATCCCAGAGATTACTCAGAGGAGAGGAGGTGGGTAGGTAGGAATTTGCTTTTGGCCTATATACCAGTAAGCCCTCTGCACCAGCTCGCTGCAGCCCTGACACCATTCCATACCTCTCTTGCCTACTTGTGCTTGGATGGAGGGGCAGTTCAAGGCACTGTCATTTCTAAACAGCACTCACTTACTTGTCCACACCCAGACCCCAGGTGCAAGCAGCTCCTGCAGGTATGCAAGGGGAGTTCTTACTCTCTCTTATGCCCCTGGGCAGCCATGTGGTATAGGAACCAGTCTAACCCCGTGGGACTACTCCAGGAATGAAGGCATTTCACAACATGTGTAACACTGGCAGAATGAGGCCTGAACAAAGGACAATAGGACCTGGCCAATTGTTATCAAGGTGCTCAGAGAGGGCTCAGTACTTCTCAGGATTCATCCCATACAAGCAACAGAGTCAGCAACCCGGCTGTGTGATGACACAAAGTCTGAGCAGTAGCTGATACAAATCAGAGTAGCTCAGATCAATGGATTGGAACCAACTTACACCACTGGGGGATCTCCCCCATACTCTTCAGCTCATTTAAATCATAAACATCTGGGCTACGTCTACACTGGCCCCTTTTCCGAAAGGGGCATGCTAATTTTAAACTTCAGAATAGGGAAATCCACGGGGGATTTAAATATCCCCCACGGGATTTAAATAAAGATGTCCGCTGCTTTTTTCCGGCTTGTAGATAAGCCGGAAAAAAGCGTCTAGATAAGCCGGAAAAAAGCGTCCTACAAAGTAGGAATAAGAGATCCTCCGGAATAAGGCTTTATTCCGGAGGATCGGGCCAGTCTAGACGCTTTTTTCCGGCTTATCTACAAGCCGGAAAAAAGCGGTGGACATCTTTATTTAAATCCCGCGGGGGATATTTAAATCCCCCGCGGATTTCCCTATTCTGAAGTTTAAAATTAGCATGCCCCTTTCGGAAAAGGGGCCAGTGTAGACGTAGCCCTGATGTCCTTTTGTTCTGTCAGTGAATGTTGGGTTCTCTGTCACCAGGCAGGTCTGCATTAGGGAGCCAGGCACGAGGAAATTGCGAGTCATTCATCAAAGTGTTAAGCAGAAATCCTTTGGCATAACATAGATCTAGATAGATGGTAAAATATCTGTTTCTGCTTCTTACAGATAGGGTGACAACATAAAAGGAAATACAGGCATCTATAAAGCACGATAATCTTCTCAACAGACTGATGGAAAGCAACATGTTGCAGTTCCGTCACCATACATTTTAAAAAAAATATTTTGTTCTTTTTTGGAGGGGTTTAGGCTTCTACTGACTCATCAGTTTCCCAGACTGGCAGTCACTGCACACCCTCGAGTCTTACTGAGGCCCATAGTGGCTGATGGTGCTCAGCATTTCAGAGGAGATGCTTCGTGCCTTGCAAGATCAGGCCCCAAGAAAGGCTAAAAAGTCAGAACAGTAACATTTTTCTGGTAAACCCTGTTTCCTAAATCCCCTAACTCTTCTTGCAGGTAAACAACCTCAGAGTAGCAGGAATTTATACTCACAATTCCTCTTGTCTCCGTTTCAAATCTCAGACAGATGTTCCCTGTGCACCCTGGACCATCTCCTGAAAAATTAAAAGAGGGGGAAAAAATCAGACCAGTTGAAGATCTCAGCCTGCTGGCCACAACCTGCCTTTCCTTGGTTCCCTTGAGTAGCACTTCACTCTGCAAGTAGCCTGGGAATCTGGCTAAGGATGAAGGCCTGATTATGATGTAAACTGGTTTAGCTCTACTGGCTGATTTACACCAGCATATTGGGACTGACAACCAGAACCAGGCCTGAGACCCTCTCAACACATACCCCAGCTTCATGAACTCACTTTTTTACTGTAAAGGTATAGCACAATTTCATATCCATTGCCTCATGGATCATGCTTACAATGTCCAGATCAGCTGATTCCCCTGCATCTTACCCTTCTTTGTGTTCCACTACTATACCTGTTGTTCTGTAGCATGAAATTACTTAGCAGAACCACACAATGGACTCAGAGGTGCTGCCTAAACTGGTCTGGCATCTCCTGGAACATTAGCTGCACCCTAATAGTCTGGGGTCAGAGAATATCAAAGTGTGCAAATACACTCACACACTTGGAACTATGTTCACTTCAATGTGAAGGCTGTGTTGCATGTAAGGGCCTTATGGATTCTGAACTGTATGGGACTTTGTGTATATGAAATACCAGCAAACCACAGAGTAACATATACACACAGCCCCAACCTGGGACCTCTGGAGCTTAGTGCATGAGCCTCTACTGCATGAGCTAAAAGCCGGTTGGCTCTCAGCAAGGGCTGTAGAGCAGACTCATTCTCCCAGGCTACGTCTAGACTTCTGGTATCCCGGAAAAGCAACACCGTCGAAGCGGACGCCCTCTTTCACCATCCCTAGAAATCTGGTTCTATGAGGCATAAGGGATGTGTTGAAAGAGCACTTTTTTCCAAAATTTGGAGCCATGTAGACCCGCCAAATTTTGGAAAAGCCTCTTTCAAAAGTAAATTAGAAAAAGATATCCAATTTGTATACCACAAATTGCATTTCTTTTTCCAATTTAACACTGCAGTCTAGTCGTAGCCTCAGTGAGCCCCCACTTGTAACGTCAACAGACTCCAGTCATCTGCAGACGGAATCAAACTGAGGACCTCTGGACATTAGTGTATGAGCCTTTACCACATGAGCTAAAAGCCAACTGGCTCTCAGCTAAGCTGCTATACATTCATCTAGCCTGTCTGGGGCTGTAATAGACTCCTGTACGGCACAGATCAGCCACACAAGAGAATCTGTAACACTTATTCACCAACAACAAACAGTCTGGTAGCACTTTGAAGACTAACAAAACATGTAGATGGTATCATGAGCTTTCATGGGCACAGTCATCTGAAGAAGTGGGCTGTGCCCACGAAAGCTCATGGTACCATCTACATGTTTTGTTAGTCTTTAAAGTGCTACCAGACTATGTGTTGTTTTTTAAGTGTATCCTGTACAGACTAACTTGGCTACCCCCTGAAGCTTTTGAACATATTCACCAGTCGGACACATTAGCAAATGGTCAAGCCACCACTTACATCTTGTTTAATTTTGAATACTCTGGTTTGCTAAACAAAATGTTGCTTACCATTATTTAAATGTAGTATTTCATCAGTGACTATATCTGCCATTGTGTGGGTATAAGCCAGGTAGTTTACGTTCATGATTGCCTTTGTTTTAATAATACCATAGTGAAGATAAGAAAAAGCAAAACATGGTTCAATAGCAGCTAACAGTGCAGCAATAACTTGCAAACATTGCACTCCTACATTATCAAGATATTGACTGTCTATTTCAAAACAGAGAACAAAGCACCTACATGCCACAGAGACAGGGTAATTAGATCAGATTAGACAGGTATCTAAGATGCTAGATTAACTAATGGAATATACAGAGTCTAAAATGTGGCACACTTTAATTCAAGGGATTCTAAGTGGACGGTAGTTGTGCTGAAGTGGAAGTCATAGAAATGTAGCACTGGAATGAGCCAACCACATAGTATTTGGAACAGAGTGGGTAACTGTATTATCTTCATTTGAAATATGTGCTGATATCCCACTGCTTTCATATGTGTCAGTGTTTCCCTGAATCAGAGCTTCAGTGTTTTGCCTAATTGGCACATTGCATGTGCATTTACCTGATTTGCATGCACAACCATAGGTGCACTTCTGAAAGCACATTTTTTTAATCACCTTTTCAATATCTGGCCTGGTCAGAACACAAACATCTTCACTAAAACAAACCAAATAATTTTTTCTCATGGAAAAATCTTTTGAGTTTACTACTTGCTACAGTACACTGTTTTGTGGAACTCAAACCTAGCAACACTGTGGCAGCAGTGAAAGCAAAACTGATTAGAAACTAGAAATTGATGAAGAATCCAGATAGGCTTAAGTCTTCAGCTTAACATGGCCTGAAATTTGGATTTGAACAGGAAGATATATTTTTTTTAAACAGTGGATTTTCAACAGTCAACGAAGATACAACACAATTGGTGTTTCTCTAGGATCTAGCAGAATGCGGCAGAGTTGGAGTCATTCAAATAACAGAAAATAGTCATGCACTGTGCTTAATCTAGTTGTTTACATTTGACATAGGCAGATAAAATTTGATTTTTTCATATTTGCTAAATTTTAAATTAGAAGATGCCAACAAAACATAAAAGATGATGGCTCTAAGTAGTCATTTACAGCTGGAGTCTCAGTCAACGGTGGAGACAACAAACTACTGGGTGAATCTACACTACAGCATTTCTCTGGAAAAACAGCTGCTTTTCCAGAAAAACAATACTTGCGTCCAGACTGCCATTGAGTTCTTTTAATAGAAAGTCGAAAGAATGGAGAGGTTTTTCCGACAGCAGTAAACTTCTTTCTATGAGGAAGAAGCCTTTTTCCAAAAAAGCTTTCTCGGAAAAAAATCATGTGTGGATGCAGAAGAGGGAGTTCTTTCGAAAGAAGAAGACTCCAGGAAATAATACGGGGGCCCTGGTGGCCACTCCGTCCATACTAATCACAACTTAAATGCGAGATAACGTCCGATCAATGGGGATGCTATCTTTCGAAAAAGCAGATCTCTTTTTCATTGTGCTTTTGCTGCGTGGACGCTCTCTTTCGAAATAAGCTTTTCTGGAAGATCTAGAAATCTAGATGTAGCCTGAGACTGCTTATGTGCATTTCCTGGTTGGTTTCCTCCTTCCTCTTCTATTGGAATCCTGAACCAGCCTCTATGGGACATTGTGTTATGAAATGGTGCCAATTCCATTTTCTCTTCAAATCTACAAGTAGGCTAATGTACCCAAATAAACAAATAAGGGGCTTCAAGTATTTTAAAAAAATATTAAATGTGTGCAATAATTATAGTTTACACAAGTTCAAGTAGTGAAAAGGGAACAGAACCCCTTCAGTGTGCTGTATTTGCCTTTGTCACACAGCTCAGGTCTTAAATAATGACATTTATTTACACAGTAAGCAATGCCTGCAGTCACAGGTAACTTTTATATTGCACAGAGGTTTGTGCAACATCCCCTTGGCTGCACTGTGTTCAGTGATCTCACAGTACAGACTGCAAAGCCAGTGGTATAATCGCACAGCAAAAGCGAGCCTTTTCTGTCACTAATGATGCTGTTTGCTTTTGAGACTCTGGAGCTCTTCTGACCTTGTGCACTTAAAGCCTGACCTCCTTTCCTAGCCCCAGCCCCAGTTCAGATCATTAGCTGATGAGTAACCACTCTGCTCTGGACTAAATGGCTCATTTGGTGCTAAATAGCAGAAAGTCAACAACAAAGGGGCAAAAAGCTTAATGTGGTCCATTGTCAACATAACCACAGGTCTTATCCCTGCAGTCCCTAGTCAGGCAAATCTCCCACTGAAGTCAGTGGGTACCTGCAACGGACTGGTTTGGCGTATGAGATCATTGGGTGAAATCCTAGCCTGACTGAAAATTCCCATTGGTTTGATCAAAGTCAGGTTTTCCTCTAGTGGCTGACAACAGCAACGATAACACCCCAATAGAATTCTCCTTTCTATTTTGGAGATGGGGACCTCTATATTTGCTGATGAAGGTCCCAGATACAGTCCCCTCAGACAACATGGTTTGCAACAAAGTCCAGGGTCACCAATTGTAGTCCAGAAGGAGCCTCCTAGGAGAGTCAACATAATGTGCTGGGCTACACAAGAGGCTGTGGTGCATGATGGTTCCATTCTAAATAGGCGTGACAAGCGACCTGCGTTTCAAGAGCAGATCGGGACATTTTCTGAAGACAGCAAACAAATCATCACCCTCTCCGCATAACTACCAGACTAGAGCACAGCCAGCAGAACAAAAGAGGCACTGCTTCCTGCTGTCCTTCCAGAATGGGAGGCCATTTGCTTTGAGCCAATCCAGAAACGTGTTCTCTTCTTGTATTCCCCAGAGTCTGAAAGAGATGATAAGGCCTAACAACTGGGCTGTATTGTGGCTTTTCTTGTAGCCACAAGTTTCCCTTTTAGCTAGCTGGGCTGAATTCTGGATGAACCAAACACCTCCTACTGGACATAGAGTCAGGTTTCTAATTAACCTCTTTTGACTCTGAATGCCTCATTAACATGTCACGGCAGATGTCCCATGAATTTATGCTTCCTAGCACAGAATTGCTATAAGGGAAGACTTTGCCTCTCATTAGCACGCTGAGCTCTGTGCCCTTCCGCCTGGTGTGCCAGACCGGGAATCATCTGCAATATTTTGCATGAATATTGTCTATGCCTCAGTTTCCCCTATGCACGGCTAAGTAGGTGGTGGGGAAAGGTTGTTTACCCAGGTGCGACTGATGCCTGCCTATCTGAGGCCTTGGCCCCATGTCCATGGGGGAGTCTGAGCAAAGCAGACAATGCCACTGCAAGTGGCAGGACATTTGGCACTTAGCAGCTAACAGCCATGGATCACCTATCCTGCCGTAAGAAGGCAGCCATGTTTTACCAGCTGGAGAACAAAGGGCTGAGAAGGAGGGCCACGTGACTGTGTTTGTCAGGGAACAAGAACAAAGGACAGGGGCAGTGGGGTGCAGTG